GCTGTACACAAAACTTTCCTTTAAAAAAATATTAAAAGAAATTGGTACTAAATCTTGACATGGAGTTTAGTAGAAGTCATACACAGTTAACCATATTGTTAGATTGCAGTGGATGTTTGTGTGAAGACTGAAGTGGTTGCTCATAAAGGTACTTCTGCCAGGATTCTGAAGTGGCCACTGTGGTTTGAAATTTTGCTTAAGTAAATTGCTAAAGATAAAACCTAAGCAATCAGACTTTTGTAAGTTCTGAAGATTCCTTATTTCATTGCTTAGAGACAATCAATACATATGATACTCTTGCTTAGGGCTTTTTTTCTCATAGAACGCCCAGAACGGAGTTCCAGCACCTTTTTTGGATGGAACCTTGTAGGGTATGCAAGGCGGGTTGTATGATGTGTGTGAGTTCTGGCACCCTTTTTTTTTTTTTTTTTTTTTAGAAAAAAAGCACTGCTCTTGCTTATCCTTGGTTAGCTTTCTATACAAGGTGAAGTTTAATAGATGAAGCAACTTTTTGGTAACAATTTATTTCATTCATTATTCACAATGAAGTAGCTCTAGTGCCTATCTTGTACCTCTTTTTCATTCCCAGCTGTATATGCAGTTAGAGAAAATGATATAATTTTATGTATTATGTATACAGTCTAATTAGGCCACTGTCCCTTTGCTTCTACTTGACCTACTGTGCTTCAAAATGAAGTATACCTGCAGCTTTGTACTTTGCTAGCACAACAATACCCCCTGGTGACTCCAATTTAGAAAGCATCAAAGGGGGGGGGGAAAATCAGTCAGACACTGAATTCAAGGTATTTTCTGTTATATTCTCTTTGCTGTAGCTGCCTCCCCTAAGTTTAATGAGGTCATATTACAATAAGCTAATGTTCAGTGAGGGCCCTCCTTCATGAAATAAGGTAAACTATTCTCCACCGTTATTTTCCCGGGGTCTGCCATTTGTCTTTACTCAGCAGTTCTTCAGTTGAATTTCTTGCTTTGTGTCTCTGCTGCAAGAACAGCTCCTCATCCTTTTCCTTTATGTCCAGATCTGCAAAAGAAAAGAAAATACGACTCTTCTCTGAGGAAAAATGTAAACTGGATGTTGCCTACTTTACAAAGCACAATTTTGAAAGAGCACCTGATGCTATAATTCTTTCTCGTAAAATGTTTCACTGTTTTCTGTTAATTTAGGATACGATTCAAATGACTACATTGTTCAAAGGGGAATTAAAATAATATGAGCATACTGTTCATCTGAAAGAATGAAAAGACATCTTGCTATCCTAGGAGACTTATGAGCTTGCCTTTTTGATCGAAACTTGGAGAGATTGACATTTTTTCCATTTTATGTCTAATACAGGTAAGTCCTTGACTTATGATCTGTTGCTTAGTGATCAAAATTATGTCAGACCACCCAAAAGGTACTTACAAACCACTTCTGAAATTAAGAAGTCTCCTCCCCCCCACACACACACCAAGTTAAGTGACTGCAGTTTGGGTGCTTAGGAATCAGCCTGCACTTACAGCTATTTGCTGCATTCTGTGATCATGTAATTGCAATTAACTATGTTTTTGCTGAAAATTTCCCGTTTTCAGCAAAAATGGACTATAGCAAATAATAGGTTTGCTTTAACAACTGCCACATAAAAGATCATAAAAATGAGTCTGGTCATGTGGTGACCCACTTTACAATTGTAATGGGCAGACTCCATTACAGGACTACCTGTCTCTCACATTGATGTAATTTACACTCTCTACTATGACCTCTAGGACTTTCTACTTAATAGTCATATGCTTCTCCGGGATATCAGGCCTAAAAAGAGAGCCAGTTTGGTCTAGTGGTTAAGGCACCAGGCTAGAAAGTGGAAAATTGTGAATTCTAGTCCTGCCTTAGCCATGAAAGCCAGCTGGGTGACCTTGCTGGGGGGAAAATAGGAGGAGGAAGGTGAGTTGAATATGTGAGTTGATTGTAATAATAAAGGGGAGCTATTTTAGCATTAGATCCTCCTATGTTATGTAGCATATCAGTCAGCAAGGGTTGGCCAACATTTTTGGGTTTGGGTGGGTACTTCAGCGTCTTCCCACGTGATGTTTAGAGTCTTTAAGTCTTCTGTGAACATTCTTTGCCATGCATTTTGAGGGCTTTCTCTTAGTCCAGCGTGTCAAACTGCTGGCCCACGAGCCGGATGCGTCACGCTGAAACCACACCCACCCTATTGCCGGCAATGGGGAAAAAGTTGTGATACGTCGTGCGACGTCACGTGACATCACGAGTTTGACATGCCTGTCTTAGTCGCTTGGCATCGGGCAGGTCCATCTGATTGCCATCTTGGGGAGATTGTCGGTACACTGTATAAACATAGAAATTGCCAGAGAAATTCTTGGTGGACACTGTCAAATGCTTTCATAAAGTCAATAAAGTTAATGGCCAGAGGATGTTGATAGTCAACACTCTGTTCTATGATATTTCATAAAGGTGAAGATTTGTTCACAGCAAGACCTTGCACAGCGAAATCCAGCTTGTTCTTCTCTCAGACATTGATATATGGTACTTCGCAATCATCTAAGGAGAATTATGCAAAAGGTCTTTCCAGGCATCGAGAGAAAGGTAATACCCCACCAGTTGGTGTATTCTGAGATATTAACTTTCTTGGGGATTTTAATAATATCCCTTCTTCACCAGTCCTCTGGAACTACACTATTTTGCCAACATTTATTAAACAATGTTGTCAGTTATTTCACCACAGCCTGGCCACCATATTTTAAGATCTCATCTAAGTCAGCTGCCTTGTTGTTTTTAAGGCTCCTAATCACCCCGACTGCTCTTTAGAAGGCCAGATCCTGAAGTTGAAACTCAAATACTTTGGCCACCTAATGAGAAGGAAGGACTCACTGGAGAAGGGCCTAATGCTGGGAAAGATTGAGAGCAATAGAAGAAGGGGACGACAGAGAATGAGATGGCTGGATGGAGTCACTGAAGCAGTACGTGTGAATTTAAATGGACTCCAGAATATGGTAGAGGACAGGAAGACCTGGAGGAACGTTGTCCATGGGGTCGCGATGGGTCGGACACGACTTCACAATTAACAACAACAACAATCACCATATTTATTTGTTCAGCTGTGATTTCTTCAGTATTCATATGAAGCTCTTGTTGGACACACTCTTCATTAAAGTTATATATACTGAATGGGTTTGGCTGGTTAAGAGTTTCATAAAAGTGTTCAACACATCTTTTATTCTGCTCATTTAGGGTAACCAAAAGGTGACATATAATAAATAAATAAAATATTTCTGACTGCATCTCAGTAGCACCACATTTTCAATGTTATTAACTTTTTCTTTTTTAATTTGAATATCCCAATACAGGGCACAGCCACGTGAGTCATGAGATGTCCCAATACTGCCCTAACAAATATCTAAACACAAATTAGTTAAATCTTCCAATTTTTATATTTGTATTAGCATAATTCCTCTGGGAATGTTATGAGAAGAAAAGGCTTTATCCATTCAATTTTGTAAGCCTGAGAAAGTTAGAAAATAGAAGGACTATAGGAGCATCCAGAAATCCAATGCATTTCATTAACTAAAACTCTCCTGCACACATTTCTGCAGTGCTGTGCTGACTGTTCGGCAGCAAAATGAAGTAGCTTGTCTGGCAACTGCCATTTTATCCCAGCAAACAAGCAGGTGGGAGAAAATGGTGGCCACATTTGGGTCACCTCTGCACAACCCTGGGACACATGGTCTACCCTCATTCCCCAATAAGGTCAGGAAAGCTTCAAAAGGTGTGATGGATGGTGGACTTATTGGTGCCAGGTCCAAGCACTGTGGATCCCAGTGGGGTGGGATGGGGAGAGAGAGGCAGGGAGGCATAAGAGCAAATGACTGCAGGGGCACTGCAGCCGTCATAACTTTGAAACAGGGTCGTATGTAAATTTGGGGTGCCTGTTGTAACTTGGAACTTTGAAGTTTATTAAGAGACTGTCATATCTCAAAGACTATCTGTAGCCCTTTTCAGGTTGGAGCCTTTTTTATCTTTTGAAATGTCAAATATTTAATATAATATAAAAGAGCCGAGGTGGCGCAGCGGTTAGAGTGCAGTACTGCAGGCCACTTTAGCTATGTTCAGCAGGTCAGCGGTTCAAATCTCACCGGCTCAAAGTTGACTCAGCCTTCCATCCTTCCGGGGTAGGTAAAATGAGGACCCAGATTGTTGGGGGCAATGTAAATATATATATATATATATATATACATTGCTTACTGGTGTACACCGCTTTGAGAATGCTTGCACTTAAAGCGGTATATAAGTCTCATAAATAAATAAATAAATAAATACAAGAGAGAAAGGAGGCAGTTCATTCTTTTCACTACTCCTGTTTTTGCATTTCAAAAGCTGTACTCTCAAAACCAGCTCCATCAGTATTTCTTCCCTCTTGAAAGGTTGTTTTCCGAAGAAAATGGTGTATCAGTTGGATCGTTGTTGTTTGCTCTACAAATTTACAGTTTTCTCCCCAGTTCATCATTCAAGTCTGAAAACAATGGAAGATAATGCAATATATTTGCAACATTCTGACAGGTTGTTTTGTGTAGTCTCTGTAACAGAACAAGCAATCTCTCCCACTGCAGTGCTATATTGTTCATGTTTTTTTAAAGAATGGGTGCACTTTGCTAATGGATGGATTCAGCACAGCATCTCGCTTGAAGTAAATTGTATATGAAGAGATTTAACAGAGCTTGTACACATAGGAAACGTTCCGTGCTATGAAGGATGACTTTGTAATTTGATATTGTTTCAGTTGAGTTGCCGTAAATTCTTGGAAAGAAACCCAGAGAGGATTTCTATTATTTGAAATAAGTATCTGTTCATTTTTAAATGAATTTACAGTCAAAGATCAAATTAAATTGTTTATTGTCTGTCTTTTTGCTTTAAAGTGAAATGAGATTTCTTCTATCACCTTCGCTTCCTCTGAAACGAAAGAGATTTAAAAGAAGAACAGAAGCCCCAATTCTAGGAAAGGTAGCACAAGAAGTAGCTGCTATTTTTTTTTATTATTGTCATTGATCCAAAGCAATTGTTTTTATTAAGGGTAAATCTTATAACATCATTGGGGAGAAAAGAACTTGACAATCAGCCGAAGTGTAAGGTCACTGTAAACAATAAATAAGGTCTTATTTTGTTCAGGGTTCAGATGAGATCAATTCAGAATATAAATGCAACCTCTTTCAGGACTGATCTCTTTCTTCTGAAGAAACTGTTGTAGCTATGTTGTCAAGAGCCCCAGCTTCTGCATCAAGAAAAAAAAAGTAAAAGCGTGTTTGCATTACAAGACAGGGGGAAAGCACCCAATGACCTTGACTGTTCTTTTACAAAATAATGTTGGGAAGACTTTTGCACCGTTTAGTTCTCAGAAAAATCAAGACATCCCCATGCTATGAATTTAATCTTGAAAAATAAATTGTTGCCTCTTTACTTCTTCAGTTGTAATTTCTACCAGTATAAACCTGAAGCCAGTGAGGAGCTTTGATGCATTGAAAGTAACCTTAGGGTCCTACTGGAAAATACATTGTGCAAAATTGGCTGGCTTTGACTCAGAGATTATTGCTTCATTGATAACAGTGCTTTTATCACACTTGCCATTACAGCCTTAGCCTTTCATCTTCCTGTTATTATTTTTTTTCTTACAAATAATTTTCTACCTTAGAAAAAAGGTAGGAAAAAGATTACATGGCCTAAAAAAATGAAAGTAATTTTGGGATAAATAAATACCTACCCCCAAATATTTCAACATAATGCACCTGAAAAGTTATTTATCACTGAATCATTTATCTTTTAAAAGCTGTAATTCAATATGATTTTCTCTGTATTTGATATTGTATGTCTTTCTTCATTTTTATACCAGTATCTCAAAAATACATTAAAACAGAAGAGATGCTTACTAATGTCAGAGCTGAAATGCCAACAGCATTTTATAATCCATCTTTACTGATATTAATGAATTAACAATTTTAATACTGACAATTTTAATCATCAATTGATATTTGATGATGGATTCTTTCTGTTTGGACCCTCAAAAGAAACCTTACTTGCCATATCTGAAATCTAGTAGAACAAAACATGGAGAATAAAGGCAAAGGAAAAATAGCACATCAAAATTTAAAGAGGGAGATAATTCTTTCAGAAAAATAATCAATTAGATATTAAAATGAAATAGCAAGGAAGCCAACCTCATCATTCTTGGGAGCATCAGATTCGAGGGCCAAGAGACTCATATTCAAAAACTTTTATCCCAGTCAGTCTTACCCATGCCTAATTCTGAACAATTGAGAGCTTTGTAGACAACAGTTAATCAAGATCAGGTTTTGTCAATCTAAAGAAGGCCAACATCTGGCATGTGGATTGGGGCACTAACCTAAACTGAGCAAAGACATTCTAAATCCCAGGGGCCATCAGATTAGATTTTCTAAATTGGAAAATCCATTATGTAGAATGAATATGACCCTTACACAACATAAGCTAAGAGCTAATAATTTTATTCATTTTTATTTGTAGGTCCTGTATAATCTTGGACTGGCTTTCCCTATTGACTAATGAAGCATTACAATGGCTTCTCAAACAATAGTGTACTGACTATTAGCTGGAATGGGAAGCTAGTACATGTTACTATATGGCAGTGTTTCTCAACCGTGACAATTTTAAGGCATGTGGACTTCAACTCCCAGAATTCTACAGCCAGCGATGCTGGCTGTGGAATTCTGGGAGTTGAAGTCCACATGCCTTAAAATTGTCACGGTTGAGAAACACTGCTATATGGACACTAAATTGTTATTTTCTTCTTAGGGATCCTCATGACCGGATAATTAGAGCTCTGAACATCAGCAATTTGTACATGCAATTTTGTACGTCCCTTTGTTAAAGTAGTAACTATTCACTTTATATGGGAGAAACTACTAACCTTTAAGATGTAGATAGGCCAAGAATTCAATTATTGTACGCATAATATTGTTATATGTCAGCAGTCTTGTGGAAGTATCTGGGGGGAAAAAATCAAGTATTACTGATTACATGAGAGAATGAAGGTGAGAAGGCTAGATAAAAGTGGGAGTTAAGGATTAAGTAGGATAAGTTTCTATGAACAGTGTTTTAATTGCTCGAAGCAAATGTAGGGGTCATTCCTTGGAAATGAAAGTGGATGAATTATTAAAAAACTGGGGGGTATCCTCTGGAATTTATAATCTTTAATAGAAAGTTTTGATTAGCTTTAACTTTTTTATCTACATATTATTTTAAAATGTAAACTGTTCTTCTGTGGATGGAATTATTTTTATTTTATGTTTCTACACTTTATTGGTTATATATACAGATTTTTTCTGCCTGAAGAATGCATTGCATAGAGTAGGATTTCTCAACCTTGGCAACTTTTAAGATGTGGGAGTTGAAGTTCACACATTTTAAGGTTGCAAAGGTTGAGAAACACTGGCATAGACAATGCATAGTAGATTCCCTATCCACACTCCAGGAACTTTTTCCATGCAGATTAGGAGGGTGTTCAAAGTGATCGGAGGAGGGAGAAAGTAAGGAACCATGAGAGACTCACTGGGCAAGTTAGTCAATTCTCACAATGACAATGATCATATTAACTATTTAATTTTAATTAAATACAATGAAATCTAATTTGTATTTCATTCTATTCCTAATTTCTATTGTCGGTGATATAGCTGCCCAGCTTAAACTTAAGGAAAATGCATAATTAATTTTGTACATATTACCCAATATTTCTTTTAAAACAGAAATACCATCTTAGGAAAATAAAATTACCCACTTTAATAGACTTCATCATGTTTAATTAAAATAAGACCCACATAAAAGGGCAGCTCGTCAAGCAGAAAAGTTGTGCATCATGATTTAGGAAAGAAGAAATCAGGAGCAGCTTTTAAGATATGCTTGGAAGTATATAGCAGAAAGGTATTAGAAGAAGAAAAGTTACCTGCTTTTACATTTTCTTCGAGGTTTATGTCACGCTTACCAGCTAAACCATGCTTGACACTAAAAATTCTGTCTATTGCATCTGTAAATAAAACAAGAGATGAGATAAGGTTTTATTACTCTAACATTCACCAGCCTATTGTGAGATATCTCCCCACTAGGTAAAAAGGTTCTGAACAAAAATGGAACAGATAGTTTTTGATGGAATGATGCACATTGAATGAAGGGGGAAAAATTTCACTAACTATAAAGCAAAGTGTCTAACCTATTGCAACACTGGCATACAACACCAGCAAATTCAACACAATGTCACATTTTGGGTGTAATCATGCAGCTGTTGGTATAATGAAAAGACAAGCAAGGAGTTGCCTTCCAGGTGCTGTTGGCCTGCACTCCTAACATTTCTTATTCTTCACCATTTTGGCTTGAGCAGCTAGGAATGGAAGTTCAATGGTGCCTGGAAGGTCACAGCTTGCTCATCTCTGGTATAATGTGAATGTCTTCAGCCAAATATGGGATTAAGCCATTGCCACTAAATTAAATAAAAGCATTTCTGATACAATAGCCACTTTATAGCCATTTGTTTCCTCTGGTTGAAAAAGGTGGACATATTTGGGTGCACATAGTGTGCTGCCTTGGGTTCAGTCTATTTACTTGAGAACATGTAGCATAGTGATTGCTTCCTTTGGTTTTAAGAAACATATTAGATTTATTTTGACAGTAAACTGCAGTTAGTTTACACAAATAGCCTCCAAAAGCCATCTTACATTCCCCAGGTGGCTCTTCTCTCCCCCTTGCACTGGGTATTTCCTGGAGGAGCTGTTCAATACGACCTGAAACAGATGATGGCTATTACCTTGTTGTTGTTGTTGTTAACTGCGAAGTCGTGTCCAACTCATCACGACCCCATGGACAATGTTCTACCATAGTACTGTCCATGGGGTTTTCACAGGGTTTCCATGGTTTTCGTGGCTATTACCTATCCTTAGAGAAAACTGAACTTGAAAAGTAGATTTCCTTTGTAAGGTATGGAGGTTTGGCCATCTTTCATCCATTTTTCCACGATTCATTTGAACCCAACATAAACAGAATACAATGTTCCAAGAAAAAAAATATTTGAGTTCTCTTCTCTTAGACAATATATTAATCCTGCCTTCCTTTTTGTAAGTAATTGGCACCCAAATACCATTATATGGTTTTAAAGTAGTGTCCAGACATAATAATGTAATCCAAATATTGATAAGCTCAGTGTGTCCAATGTACACATCAGATAGCAAAGGATACCTGTAGTGTGTTTGCTCTCCTGAAATATTTTTAATTAATGTATTACATATATTTATATACCACTCCCAAAATTAGCTTCAATTGATCCAGCTGCTGATTAGCAAGGGATACATAATGGGACAGAATCATAGAATTTAAAAGGGCTAATTGGGCTGTCAAGTCTGTGTAAAAGGACCACCAACAGAAGGCCATCCAGGTTCTTTTTGAACACACTCAATGCCAGACATTCACAATTTTCTCTGAGAAGTGATTCTATGGTCAAACTGCTGGGTTAAAGTTTTTCCTAGAATTCAACCAGAACTGCTTTCCTGAAACCTTTCACCCTTAGTATGTGTCTTGCCCTCTAAATGATAACGGTAAAAAGTGACTTTGTTAGATGACGTCCTGCCAGATACCTTAAAAAATGCTGTGTTATCATGTTTCCATTACTCCTGATCCTTTGTCAAGGATAATTACACCCAATTTTCTCAATCTTTTCTCATACAGCTTTGTTTCCAGTCTTCCAGTGTTTTCTGCACTTCTCGGGACACATTAGTTATACTGGGAAGGTAACTAATGCAGGACCATTAGTTCCTGTGATTTGGAGACTATATTTTTTGTTGATGTCACCTAAAGTCACATTTGCCTTTTTATCACAATAAACAGTGCTGACTCATATTCAGTGCCATCAATTACATGACAAGATTTTTTTTTCATGCACGTTGTTTACCAAAGTAGATTGATACTGTCTGTTGGTCAATCTTTGCCTTACATTTTATTTATTTTTTTCTTAAGTGAAGAATCTTACATTTGTCTCCATTCAATTTCAAACTGTAACATGCAGCTCACTTCTCTAACCTATAAATACTGTTTTAAAAAAGTATTGTTTCTTATTTGTATCATGAACGGAAGTTGTTTTAAAAAGTAATAAAAACAAAATTGCTCAGATGTCCTGTTCAATTACTCTGTCCCCCACTCAGAATTGCCTTTCAAGAACAAGTGTTTTTTTTGCACCTATTAAAACGGCAGGTTCTTGGGCTAAAGGGAATATTCCCCCTTGCCTTTATTTTTCAATCCGTATCAGATTAATTTTCTAAAGCAAATATAACTCTGATTATTGGGAGGTTAGAGAAATTTATTGGGAAAACAAGTAAGTCCTTCCACCTGATCACACGAAACTGGAAAGTGGACAGGCTGATATTATGTAGCCTGATTTCATATGAATTGAGATAAGTAGCTTCTATATATTGTACCATTTTTGTCAAAACATTCTGACTTACCCAAGTTCCTGCTAATGCAGAACTTCACAGCTTTTCTAGCAAGCAGCAGCTGCCAGCTATTCTATTGAATGGAAAAATCACTTTTCTTCAACAGTGCTGTAAACTCTTTGGGAGAATTTCCACACCATCTTTTATGGGGCAACGTAGCATTTTCTACATTGTTATGTCTGCTATATTTTTACAGGGCTGATAAGTTGAAAAGATGTTCCCAATTTCAATAATTTTACAATTTGACCAAACCCCTTTCCTCAATCCTACTAAGTATTATGCATTGCTTCACTTCAAAAGTGTAATGCAGCCCTGTGTATTACCTGACTGCTTATTCTGCTACTTGGGATATAACGGCACCACCAATGTCCCAAATATTTGCAGGCAGTCTAAAAAATATGACTCTTACTAGACAGTTGCAGAAAAAAAAGGCAAATAGAAAGAACGAGCTTGAAAATAACAACAAAAAACATTTTCAAGAACTATATTCTTTCTATTTATGAGATGGAATGGAACTGGAAAGTTGATCAGTATATCCAGGGAACACTGGTACATCAGATTAATGCATTGACATGGTCTGGAAGTGAAAATGGTGCTCATATCAAATGAGTTTGCTCTCAAGAGTTCAAGTGAGGTAATTGAGGACTTGTTCCTTCAAAGTACTCAGTTGGAAATTGGTTAAACCAAGTAGGGAAAGCTGTAACTGAGAAATTTCATACCCTCTCCCATCAAGCAAGGGGTGAGAACTAATATAAAATACTGCATATATTTCTCATTTCTCTAGCATTTCAATTCATATGCAAAGAGCTATAGAAATTAACATTCTTCCAGATTGTTTTAACTGTATATTAAATGTTTAACTCACGTGGGCCAAGCAGATAACCAGCACTATTCATAGTCCATCCCCTTTTCTCTTTAGCCTTACAGAAGGAAAATGCATGATTAATTTTGTACATACCAGTATTACCCAATATTTCTTTTAAAACAGAAACACCATCTTGGGAAAATAAAATTATCAACTTAAATGGACATAATTTTCATTAAAATAACAGCTATATATTTGGAAAAATAAATCACAATTAATCACAAGCTATAGTATTTATACCAGCATTTACACAGGATACTTTTAAAAACAAGCTGTACATTATAAGAAATAAACCGTGTATAAGAATTAGTTTCCAAGTTATTTAGGATTTCAGAAAACCCAGAAGCAAGTTCCACAAACTTTATAAGGAATTAATGACTTTCCTTGGATAAAAGTGCTTAGGAATTATAGTTAAACGTTACATACACATCTCAGTAGCAAGGATTTAATCTTAGATCTGCTCCTGACTTTGTCAAAAGATTTACGGCCTTTTCATTTCAGTCCCTCTGCTGTTCTTCAACAAAGTGCTTCATCCTGCGCAGTTGGACCTATCCAATCTCTGCCAGTGATTTTTCTCCTTACACATGCATTTAAGAGACAAACACATCCCCGAGTTTGTAATTTAAGAGGCAGCCACGACTCGCGCTTGCAATGACATCCTGGGTTTGACAAGGGACCAAGAGGTAGAGTCGGAGCACGTGTTACGGGTCTCTAGTAGTCCGCTGAAAGACGCGCGAGCAGCTGCAGAGGACATTTCGTTACTTACGGATAAAACCAGCCCGAACGTCTCTGAGAGAGCAGCACAAAAGATCAAGCCGGCAAACAGGAGACCGGGATGCCGCTGCATCTAAAAGGAGACCGAAATCATTTCCTTCCCCGCCCCCCGATTCCCGCCCCCCCCCAAGACGGGTCCCAAGAGGGTCTCTGCCTTTTCAGAGACAGACCAAGACCCTTCGTGGAAATGGCCCAGCGACCAGGATTCTCAAGTTTTATGGCTGTTTTAAAGGAGCCCCTGATCTTAGACATTAGCACGTGTTTCTTAGCCTAAAGTTGGAGTATACGACGGAAAAAGAAGTGGGAGAGTGGACAGGAGAGTGGGGGGTCTTGAAGGAAAGTACCTTGCCCCGGAGCTAACGGTGCCCTTGCCTGCTGGGTGGCAGCTGGGAGAAGCGAAGCCGAGGGGAGAGGTCCTTGGGCCGATCTCTCTACCGGATCTCCCCAGTCACTGCATGGCTCGGGTGCCAGCCCAGAGATGAACTCCACGGGGAGCGCCAGGCAGGGAGATCGGAGCGGTCCCAAGCCCGCTTCTCCTCGGCTATTTATGAGCCGCGCTTCAACATCGTTACTGGCGCGCCTCGTCACTCCCCTCGGGGGGATCAGGAGCCGCCCACACTCCGTGGCCGTTTCCCCGCGGCAAGGCAGTGCATTAGGAAGGGGAAAAAAAAAAAAAAAAGACGGCAACTTAATTAGAGGCATTTGGAGCCTGCAGATGGCGCGCAACCCGACCAATTACCTTGCATTACTCCCGGGCTGGTCCCCACGACGGAGCCTTGAGAAGGCCGCAGCTGCGGGCGAGCCCCGTTGCTTCCTCTTCAACTTCAAAAGTTCTTTGTTGCCCTTCGCGAAGGAGGCGGCGTGGCGGGAATAGCTCTGCCTTGTCGGGGAGCCGGCAGCGAAACTGGACGGGGAAGAAGGGCCTTTGTAATTTCCATTATGGCTATTATACGCCATCAGATCCACAGATCTTCCAATAACAGCGTTCCCCGGCTTCAGCTTTTTCTCATCTCTCGCCATCCTAGCGAGAAAACAAGTTTTACCCGTATAATTCCTTGTTCTGATCAGCCATTTCCTCTCTTGGCTTTCTGGTGCCTACTGGTTTTCTGTTCTTTAGATAAAGCTTGCTTTGTCCCCATAAGCCCACTGGCGCAACCCAAGAAAAGCTGTTGTGGAGACGAAGGTAATACAACAAATAGAGTCCATCCATTCGGGTTAAAGGGCAAAGCTCCCACAACTAGCCAAGTTGTTTTGACCTCTGAGGCAGAAAATCCTCAAGCCTTCCCATCCTATCCATAGCAGTAAAAATACAAGGATACATTCAATAGTGAAGGATTCCTTGCCCATTTACAACAGTCTAGCTGATTGTAGGTCTGCCTAATGGTAGGGCAGGCCCTTCTTCTGGAATCCTTTTTTCTGGAGCAATAGTACTGAAATGCAGGGCTTCTTTTCATGTGTTTCTTTGAAAATCCAAATGGCTCAACAGGGTATATTAGTTTACCACGGCTTTTAATCAGGTAAGCATGAAAGAGTCAAGAAATGTTTAAATCGAAAAGCTAGGTTAAGTGCTTGCACTTTGAGATCTGTATTTTAAAGAACCTACTACAGGGGTGTCAAACTCGCAATGTCACCTGACGTGTCGCGACGTATCGTGACTTTTTTGCCCTTGCTGGCAATGGGATGGGCACAGTTTCGCTATGAGGCATCCGGCCTGCGGGCCGGCAGTTTGACACTCCTGATTTAGTAGATGACATTTTAAATACAGGTAGTCCTCAACTTACAACAGTTCATTTAGTGACTGTTTGAAGTTACAATGGCACTGAAAAAAATGACTTAGGACCGTTTTTTTCTCACAACCATTGCAGCTTCCCCTTGGTCACCTGATCAAAATTCAAACACTTGGCAACTGACTCATATTTATGACAGTTGCACTGTCCCTGAGTCATGTGATTATCTTTTCCAAGTTTCTGACAAGCAAAGTCAATAAGGAAGCCAGATTCACTTAATAACTGTGTTACTAATTTAACAACTGCAATGACTCAATTGTAGCAAGAAAAGCATAAAATGGGACAAAATTTACTTAACTGTCTCATTTAGCAACAGAAATTGTGGTCATAAGTCGAGGACTACCTGTACACAAGCAGCAACATTTAACACACTGGAATGAATTCCCTCCTGGCTGAAATTGCACTGAAAATGTAAGTGAACTTGGAGTGACTTTCTTCTGAGATAACATCATATGTAACTTCTACCCCGGATGCTATTTTTATGTTTTCTTGTAGACAAAGTTGTAAAACTCTTATCATATTGACACTACACGCACAGCCACATCAACACATAATTGCACTTCCACAGTACTTTACATAGCAACATTTTCACAGTGGTTTACCCAGTAAAGTATTCAGTTTGAATTATTAAATTGATGTATATATATAAATTCATACAAAGGGAAGATTCTACTGCACTGTACTGAAGTGTCTCATCTGAAAATAAAGCTATGCCATATTTGGAACTGTGCTTAATTTAGACTAGTTTAAGCAATGTATCCATAAGTGCTCTATGAGTATTTATAAATCTATCTTAATATAAAATATATAAAATTTAAGACAAAGTTAAAATACATTTATAAAACTACTTAAGTTGAATCTGTGAGTGAGGCTCAAAAAGTAGATTCTAATATAAAATGTGATAATGGCTAAAATTACCAAAATGTGATTATAATTTAAGTAAAATGTGATTATATGTAAAGTTACAGAGAAAAATATCTAAGTTTACACGGAATACATTTTTCTGGCAAGAAATTGGTATGTCAAGGTGGAGTGCATCTAGAATAGAATAGAACAGAGCTGGAAGGGACCTTGAAGGTCTTATATTCCAGCCCCCTGCTCAAGCAGGAGAATCTATACCATCTTAGACAAGTGACTGTCCAGTCTCTTCTTAAAAACCTCCAGTGATGGAGCATCCACGATTTCTGAAGGCAAGCTGTTCCCCTGGTTAATTGTCCTCACCATTAGGCAGTTTCTCCTTAATTCCAGGTTTCATGCTGCTATGGAAAACGTAGCCAAATGGATTGCAATGAAAGGCGGTTCATCTATGAGCAGCATCTGGGCATAGGCCAAGTCTGAGCAACCAAGGTATTTGCTAAATGGAGGAAGGATAGTTCTGGTTCATGTGTCTCTATGAAAGAAGCAATGAAGAAGAACATGTTCGGTAATTTCTACCACTCAGGAATCACTGGGGCAGAGCCTTTCAGCCAATGGAATGGTACTTTTTTATATTTGCCATTCAATACTGCAGAGGTAAAAGAGCGTGACATCAGACAAGAAAGAAAGCTTTTGGATGGCTGGATCTTTCTAGTTGTGTATATTTGGAGCTGTATATAAACAGATGGAGTACAAAAGCTGAGCCTACAGTAGAGTGTCCAAGATTGGTCAAGAATTTGTTCTACGTTTTTAGTGGCTGTTTTTAAGGCTATGAGCATCTTTCATTGACTTTGAAAATGAAACATAAATGTTAATACCTACATGTAATAGAAGAATTTTATATCAACACATAACAAAAAGACTGTTAGTAATAAATGCAATGGGCACAATTATTTAGAAATAAGAAGTCAATGGACCTGGCTAGGAAACTAAATGTACAGATATAATATTTTTGCAAACTTAAACATTAATTTTTAAGGTAATTGTTAATTACTGAAACCTATTTTTTTAAGAAGTGGGAAAGGACAGGATCATTGAAAGACCAAGAACATTACAAATAAAGTATCTTAATAATTGTTATCATTACTCAGTGGAGTAATTTTCTTTATTCTGACTACAGAGTGGTACAGTGCTTTTAAACCAATGGTTTGAACTTAGGTGATTTATGCATTTTTTCTCAAATCTTTAATAAAATAACTACTATTTATCAGGTGAGTAGACAGTGAAACCTTTTGTATTATTAAAGATTCAGCCCAGCAGTTTTCTACTTAATTTTTTTTACTCTCCTCTTTTCTTGTTTTATCTCAACTAGATTGTCAGGACAGAGTTAAATTATTTTCTTCTCTACTTAGATGCATATTGTTCTTTCAAGTCTGCTTGTCAAGAATATTATTAGTCCTTTTTTATTTTTCAGTGCTGACATGTCTAGTTGTGCAGGCAGGATAATTCACAGTGAGTATTATGGCTGCACTTTTATGTTAGCATTCAAATGAGTCCATTGTCCAAATCAAATTGCAGTTTAATATTGTGGGTTGACTCTCTAATACATTTACTTCTTACTATTCCTCAGCATGAAAAATAACTTGAGGAGATTTTTAAACTTCTGCTGAAATCACATCACAGGAGTTGATTCATCTTCCAGTAAAAAGCTTGATAGGAATGTGTGATAGAATGCCCCAACTTTGACCTCTGTCCTTTTGGAAAGTAATCTTTCTGACTGCTCTGGACAACCATCTATGTTTCCTCCCCTTTGTCTGATTCTGAAGAAAATAACAGAATAACAGACTTGGAGGGGACCTTGGAGATCTTCTAGTCCAACCCCCTATACTATACTATTTCAGACAAATGGTTGTTCAATCTCTTCTTTAAAATCTCGAGTGTTGGAGCACCCATAACTTTTGGAGACAAATCTTTCTACTGATTAATTGTTCTGTCAGGAAATTTCTCCTTAGTTCTAGATTGCTTCTTTCCTTGATTAGTTTCCATCCATTGTTTCCTGTCCTGCCTTCAGGTGCTTTGGAGAATAGGTTGATTCCCTCTTCTTTGTGGCAGCCCCTGAGATATTGGAACACTGCCATCATGTCACCCCAGTTCTTTTCAGGAATTAATTCTTTGTTAGCCATTCCCCTTCCAAATTTGTAAGTACTCTATGGGCTGCACAGACTTTCTATTCCTATCTTCATATCTTGCTCATTAGCAAACTATAACCCCTGCTCCAGGCCAAGGAAGTTTTCTGGGTCATGATATCCCTGTCAGAAAAGGCACAGTCTTTTGTCACTTTCACAACGATGCGAGTTTTTTCATAGCTGACCTCTCAATCTGAAATTCTTGAACATATCTAAACTTACCGTACTATTTCATGAATGAAAGACTACTTCCATTTAAGTAAGATCTAATGGATACTTCTTGCTGAAGGAAGGTGGTGAGGAAGTAGTTTTCCTAACAACCAAATAGAAACATGATTTCTGAGAGGCTACTCCAATGTACTGGCACTACTATGGAGAAGCAGTGCTTTCTAGTTAGTCCTCCCCCCACCTCTCAAAAAATGACAACAAGTAGTTTCTGCCTGGAAGATCTAATGGGTGGGCTAATTCCATTGGAAGAAGGTAGTATTGCTCATGTCCAGATGCCTATATAGATAGATTGATATATCAATAAATTGATTGATATCTCAGTTTTTCTAGAATCTTCAGTAACTTTCCCAAACTGTGCCTGTTCCAATATAAAGTAAAAAAATAATAAGCAAGAGAAATAGAGAACATTTGCCTCTTTCCTTCAATGTGCTTGTAATAATTTATTATGATTGTTTACAATTCTTATGTTAAAATTCAGAGTGTTTTTATAAGTTTTGAAATAAAAAATACTGAGCTCAGTGAGATTACTCTCAGTATCTACATCTAAGAGTGCAATCATGTCCTGAAAACTGAGATTTTTTTAATGATTTGTTTTGGATTTCTATGTTAGTTCCTAATGGGAAAATAGGATATAATTTTCTGCCCCCTGGGCAGTGTGACTATGAAGACTTCCCTGGGTAAATGGTGATGTGTACTTTCACAGTGAGCTCTTGTACATCAAAAATTATCATAATAAAATGCCTCCTACATTTCTGCTTTGTTCTATGTGTTTACTGCTTTACGTGAAGAAACCGATTCCATTTCAACAACTAGCAAGTTTTATGGGGGCCACTTTATGTGCCATCTCC